AGACAATGGTTCATTCATTTAGTTCTGTGTGCTATATTTCATGCAAATATATACATTTTGCGGTTTTAATTAAAATGCCTGGAGTTTCATGGAAGGAAAAACAAGTTTCATAAATGCAAAGCAGTCTTTTGAAAAATATATAGAATCTTTAATATACAAAGGCAAGTGTGAAGAGGATTCTAAGTGTTTCATACATCACATTCAGAATCTAGCCAAGAAATTGTACTAAAAAAAACTAAAGGAAGAAAAATAGGTTTCAGTGGGCTGTGCCTGTATGAGTTGTAGAACTACATCCTTCACTGTAATAATAGTTGGCTGTGTCTGCCCAGATTTATTGAGATACATACACAGATAACCCGAGTGTCAAATGGTTCTCTAATGCAGACATGTGGTGGTTGAAAATGTCCTAGTAGTGGGGCAGCTGATATGGAAATATGGAACTTCAGAGTGCTAAACAACAAAACTTTTATTTATCTGTATGGAAGGAGTATCAATTAACCTGATATTTGGATCTGTACATGTTTAATTTATGGCTACATATATGAATTCTCTGCAGTAACATCATGCAAACTAGTTCTTATCTAATTAAAATAATACTTATCAATCATGACAAGTTTTAATGTGAAGTAGAGGGACAAGATCATTTTCTGCAGCTCTTATTAGACCTTATTTCTAGGGTCACTTTTTATAGTAAAATTAGATAAAAGTAAGAGGCTCAGGAAATAGATGGAGATGACAAGTTATGGAGTTTCCTGTGATGGCCATAGACCCAACTTTCCCCCCGCCCAATGTTTCCCAGATGACTGATGCCTGGAATGCTGGAGATTTAGCTTAAAAGAACATAGCTCCTAATAAATCCAGTTAATGGTCAATTAGCTGAGTTGATTAGAGCATCCATTGAAAGCCAAGTCAAAGATCTGAATGATTCCATATTTTCAGATTTGTTGCTGCTTGTTCAATGGCTACAATCCAAAGTACGTAACCCTGGACATGTCAACAATACATACTTTTTTCAGTAGAAAGAGTATGTGGCTGCGACCATGCATCCATGTGCCTTGAGAAGCAACTTAGAGTGCCAGCTCCTTGACTTCTTTGTAAACAGAAACTCATCCAGTATTAATGTCCTTGGCATCTTGGGTTCTCCCTACCATCATTACCAGTTAAACAGTAGATTAGGGTATTGCTTAGAACTCAGTTCCATTCTTCTTTAGTCAAACAACTGCTATTTGAGACAGTAATCTTAAACTTGTTGAGCTCCAATTTCCTTTAAAGGAAAAAAATAAATATTAACACCTATGTTGAAAGGTTGTAAAAATTACAGTTTCAGTTATAAAATAAATATGTCATGGGTGTAATGTACACCATGGTGACTATAGTTAATCATACTGTATTGCATATTTGAAAGTTTTTCAGAGAGTAAATCTTAAAAGTCCTCATCACAAGAAAAACAATTTGTAACTATGTATGAGGACAGATCTTAATTAGACTTCTTGTGCATTCTGCAGTACAAATAAATATCAAATCATTATGTTGTATACCTGAAGCTAATATAATATACCTATCAGTGTTCCCTCAGAAGAAGGTTATCATGACCAATAGATGAGATGATATATATGATATTCATATCGCAGTGCCCTACAAAAGATGGGCAATCAGTAACTATTCATAGAATGAATTTCTCATCCATGTATACTCTATACAAAAAGAAGTATAAAGGGAAGTCCCACAGAGAAACAAATGGTGTTAGGTATGAAATCAAGATGAATTTGTCTTATACAGCTGCCCTTTCAATAGGCGGTCTGGTTCTATTCAAACCATCAGAGGAAAAAAAGGCAAAAAAATAAATGAATCCTACAGCATTGCTTCTCCGATTTTGTATGCTTATGAACCACCTAAGAATTTTATTTTATTTTATTTTTTTATTTTAGAGAGAGGGGAAAGGAGGGAGAAAAACATCAATGTGAGTGAGAAACATTGATTGGTTGCCTTCCACACACACCCTTACGGGGAACAGAACCTGCAACCCAGGCATGTGGACCAGCACTCAAACCGGCAACCTGCTGGTTTACATGATGACACCCAACCAACTGAGCCACACAGGTCTTGGCCTAAGAATTTTTTAATGCAAATTATGACTCAGTGGGTGGGATCTGAAAGACTACACCTCTAGCAACCTCCAGATGATGTGATGTATGCTGCCTGTGCACTGATTCCACTGTAGCTGAGTCCCAGAGCATTGGACGGCACGGCGCTTTAATAAATACTGTCCTTAAATTTGCGTTTGTCTTGCCCACCATTCCATTTCCTGCCACGGCAGCTTAAAATTAAATTAATTCATGCATTCTCTTAGCAGAAGATTGTTTTGTGTCTATTATGCTGCTGGCACTGTTTTAGGTTCTAAGTATAAAATAATGAACAAGACAGATGAGGATGATGCCCTCACTGGCTTTCAGTAGAATGGTAGTATCAGACAATAAACATGTAAACAACTAATTAAAGTAATTCCTAGTGGTGAATAAAACTGTAACTAAAATAATATGAAGTTACTGTGAGACTGTGTGGGGTCATATAAGCCTCCTCTAAAAAGGAGACAATTGAACTGTTGCCTGAATATTGAGAAGCCCTCTGCAGTGTGTGAAGATCGGAAATGTCCATGCAAAGGAGAGAGAGAATGCAAAGGCCCCAAGGCAGTATGAGATTGGTCTGTGGGAGAAGAGGGGAAAGTTACTGTGACTAGATCAAGATGCTGTCATTTGGATATAAGACACTAGTGGGAGCAATCAGAGGGGAAATGTGGACAAGGTCACACCTGGCAAAGTTGGGGGAATGTAGTGCAGGTTGAAATCTAAGGAAATCTTAGAAGTTGAGTCCCAGGCAGGTCTGAACAGCTCCACAGAGAGTTAAGGTGTCCTATAGAGAAAATGTACTTAGAGGAAAGTACACCTGGCCACGTAGAACAAGGTAAGTGAAAAAGAGCTAATATAACGTAATGGGACACAGATTGAAAAACAGATTATTCAAAATGAAAAAAAAATTCAAATTGTACATCTGTTAGGTTTACACTACAAGAAACAAACATATATCCCTGAAGCCATGTGAATTAACTAATAGCACACTTGTAGAGCACTCTCAATTCCTGCAGAATAAATCATTTTTTCTGAGAAGTGGTTAAGTGATTATTAGAGAAGACATAAAACTATAATTCGTGGTTGACCATAAGCTGTAGCCCAAGATTTGTCTTACTTTCCAAAAGAATGTTGGAATGAAAGTGAAGGAGAGTAGCCAGAGCAATAAAAGATAGCAGTGAAGGAAATAAGACATAGCAAACCCCTTCCTGCACTAAGAAAACAGTCTAGTAGGAAAAATAGCCATCATTATTATATCAACTGTAAAATGTTAAATGCCTTGTATTATGAGTTTTTACTCCACCCATGTACCTTTTTAAACCCATAACCTATCATATTGTTTTAGTGGAATACAAGCCAAACCCTAAAACCAATAAAGACAATCAAAAGAGAACCCACAGATTGGAGTAACGAAGGAAGAGCGAATGATGTTGTGATGGCTCAGCTGTCCTTTAGTGACGCTTACCTACCAGTATGCCTAATAATTTAAGACCTACAGACTCAAGGTTATTAACATGTAACTGCATTTCAATTGACTTCTGATTTTGTCTAATGATTTAAGGCCCTGCAAACTAGTAGCTATTAACGTGTCAGAACATTTCCAATTGATTTCTGATTTTCTGTCTTGTTTTTCAAATATTGGGGCCCCTAACCTTCCACCGGTGAGAAACAGCTTTGATTTGTTTGTCTAGTAGCGATGAAGATTGGCATAGTCAGTCACCCTTTATCACCTGAATGCCTGCTGCCTCAAGACACTCATTTCTGATATATTCATCCAGAATTATGGCTATATTATGTGAGGAAATAGCAGATTAATGTTGCTTGTTTGTATATTATTTCACTTTGTTCCACTGACCTCATCAGCACCCTCTAATAACCAGTTAAGCCACGGAGTCCAGACTTTTTCCATGCTCTGTTCTCATTATTTATTTGTAATTGTTTCGGTTACCTTTGGCATTTATTAATGCCAACGATATTTTCTTTCTCATTGGCCCTTTGTGTATCTCACTGTGCTCATTCAGCAAACACTAAATGAGTGCCAGTCTCTAGGGCTTCGAGGCCAGGGGAGTGGGTGGAGCGAAATGAAGCTAGAAATGGGCCCAAGAGCCAGGGCATTTGAGGCGTTGTAAACTTTTAAAGAATATGTTCTCTCTCTTAAGAGCAGCAGGAAACCACTGAAGAGTTTTAAGTACTTTATTGACAACATCTTATTTCTGCTATTTCCTGACTTTTTCATTTTTCTTCCCCTCTCCCAATGAGACCACTTTAAACAGTAGTTTTATAATGCTATCCTATTGTTTATATTTTGTGGTTATTTCCAAGTAATGAACTAATTTTCTAATGAAAGAAAAAGGTTGCCAATTATACAAAGTTAAATTCTACGAGAGACACAAGAGTGTTTGCAGATAGAGATACCTGTGAGTTGGGTCATGGAAACATATGCTGCGTGCTATGGATACAGTCATAATTTGCAAATGATGGCTCATCTCCAATAATGGAATAAAGTAGAAAACCTATTTCACTGATGTTCCTTACTGTAAATGTAATATTTTAAGTATAAAAATTACCTAATAGGAAAATATCTGCAATGTTAAAGTACTTTCAACAATGTGCTTAATTCACACACCTAAGTTTCATATGATAAAGGACAATATTTAGATAGACAGATAGCCATTTCTAAATGAGGCTTTTTATTATGCATATATATTTTTTTCTGGTGTTCTTTTAACATCTGGCTAGTCCCTCTTTTGGCTTTACTTTTAACTAAGAACAAAAGGGATATAACCTAATTTATCTTGGTGCCCATCTGGTTTCAATTGCTCATTTTACATTTACTCAGAAATGATAGATTGTTGGTGATGATGTCTTTCCCAGGAGAAGAAGTTGACAGACAGCTATGCAGAGATGCCATCTTCCCCATCCCCGTCGCCTGTTATGCCCCGTGCCCAAGGGACTGTGTGCTCAGCACGTGGTCTGCATGGTCCTCCTGCTCGCACACCTGCTCAGGGAAAACCACAGAAGGGAAACAGATACGGGCACGCTCCATTCTGGCCTATGCGGGTGAGGAAGGTAAGGTCTCCAGCTTCAGAAGGCACTGAGGTTCCTTTCAGAAGTTGGCATGCATTTTCTTTGTCTTGCCTGGATAAGATGATGTTCTAGAAAAATTAACTTCCAGAAATCTAGCAATCTAAGGAGATTTTGTACGTGTTAATATAATGGGCAACTTGTTTCTCTTCCCCAAGATTAATCTTGAAAACAGATCATTAATAAAAGAAGAAAGATTTTTAAAAGTGCACTCACTTTGCCTTTTCTCCTGCCTAATAATTCAAATTCTTTCTAGTTCGAAGCATTCAACTTGAGAAAAGATCTGAAAATGGCTCCCAAAATTCTGTGTCAGGTTTCATCGTTTTTTTCTCCATTTCAGCAGTTTTACTTTTTGAAATCACACTCTACCTCTTCATAAATAGGGATATATGTTCAATAATAAAGTTAATTTGAGAATAAATACCAGCATGGCTATTTCTTTACTAAAAACTACATGTATTTTCAACAATTCAGTTTTCTGACCGTGGGCTCTGAGATCTGTAAGTTTCATCTGTAGACTGTGTTCACTTTTGAATTGTGTTGCTGTTCAGTCACTTTCTCCGACTGGGAAGTGGTTCGTCATATATTCATACCTCACTTGTGTTTGCTTTATTGTCAGCAGTTACAAGACTCTTGGTAATTGTCTCTCAAGCTTATATCCAAATGCTAATTTGGCCTCTGTGTGACTTGGTGATACAATGTCCTACTTAATCTTGTCATTCTGGAAAATAACACAGGAGCAAGGAGAACATAGAAGTAAATCAAGTTCTGTCACGTTGAGGCATGTTCTGTCTCAAGAATATATAGGTGAATGTTATTTAAATATCATCAAACTGAATGACTTTTCTCATTCAAGTGATAAATACTGATTTCTCTTTGTAGTAAGCATGTGTTTCTCTGTGTATACTCCCAAATACTTCATTTTGGAGGAATTTTCAGGTTGCCTATTTTATTTTTCTGTTTGTGAAACATTTTAGTGATGGCAACCTTAGAGTATTCTCATTTGATCAAACTTGCTATCTGTGTGTGTACAATAATATCTATTAAAAATACAAGTTCCTCAGGTTCGATTCCCAGTCAGGGTACATGCCTGGGTTGCAGGCCATGACCCCCAGCAACCGCACATTGATGTCTCTCTCTCTCTCTCTCTCTCTCTCTCTCTCTCTCTCTCTCTCTCTCCCCCCCCCCTTTCCCTTTCCCTCTCTAAATAAATAAATAAATAAAATAAAAAAATACAAGTTCCTTGACCTTAAGACATGAGAGAAAACATTAATATATTTAAAGCAGTCAACATATGGGAAATTCCTAATTCTCTGTAAAGTGCCCATACACTTTTTTCCTGTCAGCTTCATATAAATTTAACTATTTGCTACCAAAAAAAAAAGAAGTGTATCTCTGGATCCTAATGGAAAAGTAGCACCTTTTAAAGAGAAAACTATATTCTCTGTGTTATCGAACAATAACTCTAACCTTGTATAGATTATATTCAGCCTTCAAACTCTATCAGCTCAGATTATGTCTTGAACTCCATTAAAATTAGATCTGTGGTCACCCTGCTTCCTATAAATCCATTATACTCTGCAGACACTTGCTGTGTGACTAGTAATAAGTGACTTTTCGCCCCGTGAGTCACGTGACAGAGATTGTGCCCGGCTTGCAGAACCCACCAGATCATTATTTTTGTAGACACGATGCTGCTCACTGAAAGGTCATGAAATGCTTTAAAGGCAGAAATTTATGATTGCTCTTTGATATGTATCATCCACTTAGAGTGAGAGGGTGAGACTTCAATAATTTTTAATTAAGTCTAGTAGCTGCATCATAAGCAAGCTGTGCTGGAAAATCATGGATGTTTATATAGTAAATCATAAAGGCATAAATTCAAAACATAATTTTAAATGGAAACCACAAAAGAACCATGTCAATGGGAAATCTGCTGCTATTTTTCTCTGATAATAATAGTTATAAAAACTGGTATAATTATACAAAATACTTGATGACAAATCTATCCTTCAAAAACTATTTATTTAATATCTATTATTTGCTGGACACTTACGCATATTTTATGTTCCTCAAAATAAGCCTTTTTATAATGCTGAGATTTTAAAAAAATGATTTAGAAACTACATTTGCAGAGAGTTTGATATGTTTTCCTGCAATTAGATAATCCTTTGTAATTCTAAACAAAAGTAGATCTTTCTATTGTATTATTCCCCAAGAATTATTATTTTGTATGTGTTATAACTGTTCCTACTTTTCTGTGGATCAGAAAATTACTGTGATAACCTAACTAAAGAGATTACATTAGTAAAAATTATATAGAGATTTTTAGACATAAAATTACATGAATTTCTGGTGAAATAACTTGTGGAGAAATACAGGTACAAAATATTTATCTGGATTTACAAAATAAATGTAGCAACCTATATACTTCTGTTTATTTCAGTCAGAAATTTATCATTAAACATTGTGAAGATTTTATAACCTCATGTTAAGGACAGACTAAGTTTTGGTACAGTAACAGCTCAGAAGTTTCCTAACTTAAAAGAACAATTCTTTCTTTCTTATGGAAATGTTGCTAGAATGTTAGGTAACTCTACAAAAAGTCTTTCTGTCATAATATGTCTCAGCATTACACCTTCATATGAAGACCTCCTTCATAATCCCCATGTCAGTGGAAGAAGATAGTTGGAGAGTCTGTCTGCTGATTTAAAATCATCTGCATTAAATTATTCCATCCAGAAATGCTTTATGTCATTTCCACTAACATTTCATTTTCAAAATAATTCACATAATCGTGACTTGAAGTTGAATTGAACCTAAATTCAAGCAGACTAGAGGCAGATATAATCCTATTGTATGCTAAAAGGAGAGGAGTGCTGGCTGCTGACCTTACACCTGGTTTGTTCGGTCGCCTCATTGTGTATAGGTACCTACTTGATTCCCCACCACCACCACCAGTCTCTCTCTGCCATCACCACAGGACAGCCCCATTACCCTGCCCATGTTCTGACACCCTGCATCAGGCCAGCCCACATGACAGGAGCCCTTCCCACCCCCACTTGGCTGCAGCGCTCCACACTGGACTGGCTGCCTCGATGCTGGGATTTCCTCTGCACTCTGCCTGTGCTCCGACATCCCGTGGCGGGTTGCCACGTCTCCCCTCTTAGACATTTCCATGCCTCCCATTGCTAAGGACTCTCTGTGTGTCTGATGCTCATGCCAGGCCACCCCCTTCCCACTGGGGATTCCTTTCTATCCCAGGCTGGGCTCTGACAGCCCACTCCCAACCACTGCAGCCCCCCGCCTGCTGGCATAGATGCTCGCCTGCCTGGCTCCACCAGATAGCTACTTTAAAATTATGTTGGCAGCTCTAAAAAAAAGCAGTCATTTAACACTTAAATCTGTCAGATTTGTAATATAAATAATGATAGGTTGAATTGGAATAAAAAATTTTAAATGGACATTAGATTAATAGTCTCTAATTTTTTGAACCCATGCTGTGGATCTTCAATAAACTTGGTTTAAAAAGGAAAAATAATTTTAAAAATGTTTTCTCCTGAGTATAACAAATTCTGTTAATTCTCATTATATAGTTAATTATCTGTGCAGAGCAAGAAATGAGAGCATATTTATTTTTGCAAAGTTCAGAATGACCTGATGCTATAACTTCATCAGCCAAATTTTAGTGTGCCTTTACACCTGCTTTATGGATGCAGAGAATAGATGCAAATTGAAATCAAATTAGGCCAATTTTTCCTCAAATAATTAGTAGTCTTCAATAATTACATTTCATAGTATAAATCACTGAGGAGAGGAATATTTTTAACTTGTTCAATTTTTACAGCTAAATGATTTTAATTCTAAGAGCCAGGGAGCACTTATATTTCCTAGACGAATTTGAAGAACCTGGAATCTATCATATGTGTATATACACGCATAACTCTGACTTCTAAATAAATACTATCACTTCCTCATCCTCCCACTATCGACTTTGAAAACGGAGCTCTGCTTCAATTGGTCCCTACAGGACCACCACACAGGATTTATGCAGTGGGAAGTCTTTTCAGCAAGAAAAAAAGGGGGAGAAAGTGGCAGATAGTGCTGGAGCAGAGTCTCCTTAGGTTCTCTCTGGGTAGTGCTCTTCCAATTCAGTTCCCTGAAATCATGCCACTGCTGATGTGCTTTTCACCCAGCAGTGGTCTGCTATCAAAGGAATATGGGCTGCAACAGCAGGCACAGTTGCAAACATCTTAATACTGTCATCCATGGCACACTAACAGCCTCTTCTTAGCATGAGCCAGTCTGCTGTCTTAACCTTGTGCCATCACTTGCCACTGTGAACTCTGCCCTCCACCTGACTGCACTGACACTGCCAATTCCCAAAGTCAAAGCTACCTGCATACCTTTGCTTTTTTTTAAATTTTTAATTCTGTTCAAATAAGATCCTCCCTTCCTTTTCACCCTTCCCATAACTCTGCTTGTCCAAGTCCTATTCCTTCAAAACTCATCTCAATGCCTCCTATCTGAGGCATTTTTCAGTCCCCCAAACTAATGGCATCTGGTACTTTTGAATCCCAATTATACTAAATACTTTTTTGAACATTATATTCTTCCTAGGATCATACTTATTTCTACGCTTATCTCACCCCTCTATTACTCTTCCTCACTGGATCATAAGATCCTTAGAAATATCAGGAACGATTTCTAATCCCTCTAGTTATCCCCTGACAAATTGGACATAAACAAATTGTATTTGTGCTCAACACATGCACATCCAATTGTTTTGAACAAATTCTTTTTTTTTAAAATCTGCCATCTAAATTGTAAGAACTTCAATGCCAGAATCAGAAACATTGTAGATTTGTTAAATGCATGCTAACAAAGTTTGTATAGGTTTGAGATTGGGAGGAAAAAAAAAGTCACTTTTTTGTTTCTAAGAGAGAAGCTTCACATAATAGTTGATATTTTTATATGAGTGTGGAAGTTTATTTATTTGGCAGAATTTCATTGAAACATTATAAACTCCCCTTGATGAATGATAGAAAGCCTAAATAATCACTGAGTATGAAGCATATATTTTTATGTATAAATTTTTTTTCAAACTACACTTACCACTAATTTTGTCATGGGTGACATTTTATAATTTCCCCAGCACAATGAAAATATTCCCAGATGTCTGGAATTAGAGTTTCCCATGAATAATAAATAAAGTCAATATTATATCTATCAATTTTTCTACCATAAAATTATTCCCAAAACAACATGACGATGCTGCAGTGACCGATTACTCCAAGCTACGTTCTGGAATTGCCATATCGTTATTATAATTAGAACCACATTGGGGCTTATCTGTACAAATATCCCGACTTCAGGCCCAAACTGCTGATGTGGCTTTAATGTGGATTGGGGCAAGGAAATAAATAGCCTTTATGTCTGTAAACTTAACAGCTATCTTGCAGTTCCTCGACACATTATGCTGAGGTTGTAGAAGTTTTTTTCTTATCAGTTTTCCAAAGCCAACCAGTTAATTCCAATGTCAGAAACAATTCAGAGTTTTAAAATCACAATTATCACAGTTTAAACAGCATATGTTGTACTTGCAGTGAAAAGGAGGTAAGTAAACACATTTTTTGTAGATCAATAATTTTGCTATGAAATATAAGTGGTTAACATATAATACATGGTTAACATAGTTTTTTATATATACATATATATATTCTATAATTAGCATCTATTTGTCTGAGAGAAAAGATTGGATAAATCTAGAGCCCCAGGGAATGGGTAATAAGAGTGCTCATTTTCTTCTTCCCAATCCAATTATCTGTTTTAGGCTTCGTTCCTATTCAAATCTTAAACTTCTTTTCAGAAGCTGCCAGGGTCTCTGAGCATCATGATAGAGAATAGGGTATGAACTATGACAGATGTTTTCACCTTCTTGAAGCAGGGGATATTAATGAAATGCTGTTTAACTCAGGTTATTCTGATGTTGATCCAATGTTGTACCCTGCATAAATGATTCTAAATTGCAGTTAAACTCTCACATAAATTGCCTACTGATTTATTTGCTTAACAGAAGAATGTCCTTACTCATAAGTTTAGTGATATCTGAAGAGCAGCTCAGGATGTGGATTTGTGACTTTGTTTATGACTTTTATGTAAATCTCTCAAACTTTTGAGGTCGTCTTCCATGTTAGAGTCTCTAGGTATTGAATCACCCTTTTCTTACTTATTTTCTACTTTTTAAAACTTGCCTTCCTAATATCTAAAATCTACCTTTTATTATATTCAATATTTCTTTCATTTACATGAATATCTGTGATTAACACCCAAGATTTGTACCATTCCACATTAACAACCAGTTATTTTCTGCTCCTAAGATGAAATCCAGAAACTACGTAAGTTTGAATAGATTAAATTGTTGATAAAGTAAGCAGTAAATTCCTCCAACACTCTGCCTTTTATTTTTGTAGTGGAATTATTAATAGTGCAGTGATAAGAAATTGGACTCCATCAACTCCCAGCTGTTAATATTGGCCACATCATTTAGGCTGTATGGACTCATCCACTTTATGATTTTTAACACGTGGATATAAAATGAAGCCCCACTTACAAAGTACTTAAAATAAGGCTAATGCATTAAAAGGGGGGGTTCCATAATGACAGCTCCAGATCATATTCTTTTTTAAAAAAGATTTTATTTATTTATTTATTTTGAGAGAGAGGGGAAGGGAGGGAGAAAGAGAGGGAGAGAAACATGAATGTGTGCTTGCCTCTCATGCACCCCCTACTGGGGACCTGGCCCACAACCCGGGCATGTGCCCTGACTGGGAACCAAATCAGAGACCCTTCGGTTTGCAGGCTGGTACTCAATCCACTGACCCCATCAGCCAGAGCCAGATCATATTTTATTAATTATAAAAACACATGTTTTACTCTTTATCATCTCTGTAATTATTGCATCTTACAGTGGACACATTTTAAAACCACTGTGGCCAAGCAGTAGTTATAACACTGTTGTCATGGATAGTACATGTAAATTTTAATGTTATTCCTGATGGCATTAGTGACCCTATGATATTTCTGCCCAAAACAGACAAACAAAAACAGCAAAGGACTATTTGGGGAAGGAAATGAACCTGTTCTCAATTGATTGCTTAAACTTTCCTCTGATATCTTCTGGTGCCACTAAGAATGCAACAGCATCCAAAGTTAGAGACTGGTACCAGTATCCCAAAAGGAAACCCTGACAACAGCACGGGAGCAGTTTTTTAAAAGAAACTTTGCATCAGCACCAGTTTTGATGCCACAGAGATAATACCATGTAGGAGAACACAAACTTTAATGAGTGCGAGTTAAACAATGACAAAGAAATTGAACTGTGAATGTAAAGAAGTTTTAGGAATAGCTTCCCTTTTAATGTATGCAAAAGAGTGACATAGTTCTTAACAGCTATGTAAATAAGTCATACAAAGCTATTTCAATAAGCATACCATAAAAATTAGAGTCGATTAAAAAAGCATTTTATTATAGTTTATTTTGCAGCCATTTCTCTTTCTTTGGGACACATGTAGTGATGGTGTACCTCACAGGCAGTGACACCTTAGGTTTGAAGAAAAACAGTGTTGCCATTCCTTCATGGTTTTTCCAGTAATGTTATGAAAGATCAGTAAGCATTAATTGATTTTAAAACCACATTTCTAATCACCCTAAAGACTAATACATTAAAATAAACAACACTGTAAAACCTGTAATTAAGACTTTCAATTTGGGGGATACCATTTGAAATGCACTGGCTTTTGTCCATGCACAGAGTCTTAATGCCCAATTTACCCTGGTAAGCAATCACATAGGCTTCATTTGTACTTCATTGTCAGCTTCTCTGGAGAACAGTAGCCTCTCTTTTTGAGGTCCTCCATAGTACCCCCAAAACAGATTGCATGTATACCACATAGTGTACATTTTAAGCAAGACCACACCAAATGAAGTAAGATTAATATGCACTTTACCTTCCTAGCAATGTGCTGGTTATTTGCTATGTGCTGATAAGTAACAGGTATCATTGTTGCTAATTTCAAAAAACAGAGAATGATAAGATTTCTGTTGGCACCATATCTGATCTGCAACGTTGTTCATTTTTGTAGGTGGAACTCACTGTCCAAATACAAGCGCTTTGCAAGAGGTGCGCAGCTGTAATGAGCATCCCTGTACTGTATATCACTGGCAAACTGGTCCGTGGGGCCAGTGCATTGAAGACACCTCATTGTCGTCCTTCAACACAACCACAACTTGGAACAGGGAGGCCTCTTGCTCTGTTGGCATGCAGACAAGAAAAGTCATCTGCGTGCGGGTCAATGTGGGCCAAGTGGGACCCAAAAAGTAAGGGCTTTAGAATGTCATCAGTAAACCCTGTGGCCAGCCATGCAGGGGATTGGCAGGCTTCACTTGCCTCATGAAATGGAACATTGTGATGCTTGTCATATCTGTCCTCAAGAGTAACATATGTTTGTTTTGAATGTCAATCACTGATACAGTTTTAACAGCTTCAGAGTCTTGTGCCTGGGATTCATAAATTCCATGGAAATCTTTCTCTGTGATACCTACTTTCAGTTTTACAGTAGCACTTTCTGCTTTTATAGTCAGGCAGTAAAGGAAGTGCTTGCTTTAGGCCTGTCTGATCAATGATGACAGAATATGAAGTCCTAGCAGTGTAGGTTGTCCATGACCACTTAGATTTCCGTAGGCTATGGAGATAGCCAATCTAGTTTAACGGAGCAGTAGCCTTCTATGGCCTGCCTTTCATTTCCCCTAGAAAATATTACATCAAAAATACTGAGGCTGAACTTATTGCATCTTTTAATCATTAAATGAATAAGCTATTTACATCCAAGAGAGAGCCTTGGGATAGGATGTGTGTTGTGATAAATAGAAAAACCATCGGTTCCTTACTGTGGTTATGAATAGTGTAATAACAAGGCAAACAGTTTGCAAAAAGGGAGGACAAAGAATGAGTTAGCTTGTTACTTGTGCCTTGTGAGAAATATAAACAGAAAAAGCCAGGGCATAACTGGGCTAACCATTCTTCGAGAAAATTAGCAAGTCAGTTCTGAAAATACAATCTTTTCAGGGGACAAACTTATTTATCTTCTGAGATTTAGACAACACGGATCTTTTATAATTGAAATTATCTTAGCTATGTGAAACATTGGAAGTGAAACCAGTCAAGTTTGCATTGGTATGAAAATGGCCTCAATTTCCAGATACTTGGCCAGCTGCTTAAATATTATGGGAGGTCGTAAGCATTCTACTTAACTGATTCTGGCCTCAGCTTTCAGAGTTTATTGAAAGGATTTAATGGAAAAAATAGTAGTAATAAAGCACTCAATAAATGTTACAAATTGTTACCTTCTCTTAGAAATTTGAGATACTTCTTAGTGTTTCAGGGAAATGATAATAATATACCTGATGCATGAAAAACCTCAGGGGATTAGTAGGAATCTTATTACAAGTTGTTTTTACTTGGCCAGCATTCCAGACATTAGTGATATGCCCTATACTTTGTATATTAGCTTGAAATTAGGAAACATATTAGAAACATATGGCAAAAAGAGTTGACTAAATTGAGAAACTATTCCACATGCTTAATAGGTAGCCCCAAACCAATATTTTAATGGAAATAGTGTTAGCTAAAGTTGTAATGAATCTAACAAAGGCAATTAATGCGCAGGGTATTAAAATTCAATAGCAGTAACAGCAGGAGCAGAGATCCCAAGTCCTGGAGGATCCCGGGCCTTGCTGGGACAAGTACAGAAGTAGAAATGCTGCAGAGCGTTCTCACCCGACCAACCTGTCACAGCACAGGATGGAGGGTTATTCTGCTCAGTTTCTATGAGTAGCTCAGCTCACTCACTCTGATCCCATTCGCAGTTACCGGTAATCACCTTTCAAATGATGCTATTGATATTTACCTCACTTATGCAAACTAAAAACTATTTTGCTGGACAATGGATGTACATGTGTAAAACAGCCTGCTGGGTTAATATCATTAAATCATTCAGCAGGAGGGGTATCCTGAAGCCCCACGTCGGACCACCATGATAATCCATTAAAATGTGCTTTGCCCTTGCAGCCTTTATGCAGTGACCTGGATACATGGATAGATTTGTTAAATCAAATGGATTTGCTTTGCTCTTAAAGGTCTGAAAAGTAAGCAAATGCTGTAAATTCAAAAGAAAATGTTAGTGCCCTTATGCCTAAACACTAGGTTAAATTCCATGAATGCTTTTGTGTACTAGGCATTTGAAACAGAAATGCAAATAGAAGCCTTGTTTTAAACTCCTCTTAATAAAACAGATTACTGCGCAATGGTAAAATCAATGTTATTGATCTTATCTATCCTCCAAGTAACAAATTTCAGCTCCTATCACATCTGTTTAATTTGACCTTGAATAAGATTTGGGAGAAAATCAATTCCTTGATTTAAACCACAAACACTAAATACAAACAGTACAAAAGAGAAAAGAAGCATGTTGACCGAACCAATTGCCTCACGAAAGGAAGTCTGAATTTATTTTATTGGATGTAATCTAGACTGTATGATTTATCTTTGTGTGTTCATTTAATGGCTTTATTGTTAGTAATTTTGTTCTCCACAGTGAGCCACGTATCTTGCTGTGGATATTTCTAAACTAAGACAAAATTTTGAAGGTTGTCAGTGATAACATGATAAATTGTACTGACTTATTCAGGGCTAAAATTTGAAGAGCATGCCATTGAGTAATGCTCTCCCATTATTAAAGTTATAAAAGGGCCTCATTGAAAAAAGTGTGCTCCCAATAATAATTACTAATCAATAATTTCATAGTTCCAAAGAATTAACAGGATTATATGTGGAGTTTTGCCATATAATGCTTCCTGGTTAAGTGTAAAGGTTAAATTATAATTCCAGTGATTTATAGTCTCAAGTGTAGCAATACTTTAACTTCTCTGACACACAGCTAAATTTCTCTGTCGTCCATTGACTTTGAGTGCTCATGGCAATTAGACAAACACAAGCTTATTCTTAGCATAAACCAGGGAGATTTATTTCTTTTTGAAATGTTGAATCCAATATATTTTTAAAATTCATTTCTGAATAAACCCTACTGTCATAGAGTGAGAGAAGAAAACATGTATTTATATAACAGAAGAGAACATAATATTTATGTATGAGATAGAACGTGTAGATAAATGATTACAATGCAAAATATATAAAAAATGGAGCATTGGCAAAGGGCTATAAAGAAATTATAGGAAAGAGATTAATTATGTTATTTTTTCACTCATAATTTCTCTTTCTGAAAACCTGACTAACTTACTTGTTAAAACACAATTTATCTTGACCTACAAAAGCAGTTGGCTTCTCCCATGGTGAATATTTTTAAATCCCAAAGTTTGCTAATTTCCTATGTTATTTCATCAATAGTTTTATTGGTTGTTTGATTTATTTCTTCAGTGTCTCTCAGCTTATTTGTTAATGATTTATATGACCTCAAAAGAGTATTTCTTAGGAATCATAACATTAAGTTACTTTTACTTACATGAATTATGTTATTATATTATGTCATCCTAATATACATCTTCTTTTAACATTAGTGCTCACAGCCAACATTTGACTACTAGCAGTAGTAGAATTAGATTGTAAAGAATGCTGATAAGAGGTGGGAAACTTAAAAATCACATAGTAAGTACACAATAAATATGGCAGTATATTTCAAACGTATATATCAGCTCCCTAAAATTATCTTTTAGGGAGTGAAAACCTTATATAATGTAAGGTATTTCAGTGATTTGTCATTATTTTTATTTTGTGTTCCTAATAAATGATATATTTTGATTCATTTTTTAAATAACAATTTAGTTGATTTTACCATAATTTATGTTGGGAGCACAGTGTTTTATTTTTCTTTAAATTAGTAATTGACTATTTTCATTTTATTTTTATTTACTTTTTTGTTTCAAAAAGTATTATAACTTATTAAAATATTTAAAATTCCATAATTTGAAACAAGGAATATAATGGAAGAAAAAAGACATTAAATGAAAGTAAGACTAAAGCAAAAATTGCTTATCATAATGACCTATACACTTTTATTATCTTATTACTTATTTAATGAAATATATAGTTATAAATACAACTTTATTTTTGAGCATGTACTGTGTATAAAATATACTCTATTATAAATCTGTTATAATATTTTATAAAAATAAAATATAGAATAACTTGAAAATTTATAATCAGCAATAAGCCTAGTTAGTTACACAAAGATATAAAATTAGGTCCTTAAATTGGTAATTTGAATTCACACACATTTTTTTAAAAGTATGTTATAAAATACAAATTTACTAATGGGGAGATTATTATAAGGGAGTAAGATATAAGTATCACATTTGTGCTAGATAGCACCATTACTATTATTAAAACCATACATCCTTTTTTGAGAAGCTTTACTGAGGTCCAGTTTGGAAGGATTAAGTTGTATAGTTCTTGCCAAAAGCAAAGCTCCTGAAAGCTAAATGGCACAGACTGGTGACTATTCAGCAATTTTCGAAATGAAAATTCTAACCAGAGTTACCTGGTTTCCAGGATTACTGCAGAAGCTTAGTAATTTCCGTCTGCTTTTCCCAGGTGTCCTGAAAGCCTTCGGCCTGAAACCGTGAGGCCCTGTCTGCTTCCTTGTAGGAAGGACTGTGCCGTGACCCCATACAGTGACTGGACACCGTGTCCCTCCTCATGTAAAGAAGGTACGTTCTGCAGAGTTCTGGAGACTGTTCCCCTAGAAAACCACTCGCCAGCACCTCCACGTGCTTCTGACTGAGCAACGTTTGTGATTCTTGCATGGGACTGCGTAATCCTGGTTCAACATGAATGCCATCAAATTTCAGTTTCCTTCTAGAAAACAGTTTACCTTCAGAGTACCAAATGAATGGGCTTTATGCCAAAACTGACTTAAAACTTTATGATATAAATCAAAGTGAAAGGATTCTAGATGTTACTATATTAACAATATTTCCTTTAACATTAATTATAAAAGAGTATATAGTGTGGCCATAGGTATCTCAGAAAGAGTGTCCAGTGACCTTATCAGTACTCATAGCTTCCAACCTGCTTAATAGCAAGCAATAGCCACGGCACCAGATTCACTCCAGGTTCAATTATGCAACCCCCAGGACCAGAACAAAGGAAAGAGGGAAACGGCCAAATTCGTCCTCTGCCAACTCCTAATGCGCCATGAGGCATTTACAAGAAAAGGATTTTTTCTCATTTTGTGTTTTCTTTCCTTTTGTTATTCACAAAGACTCTTTAGTATCATGACAGATACTTTGATAATTCTTCACCCTCAAGGAGAGGGTTCTTTCTCACTGTTGCTGAGAAAGATACCAGCATCCTTCACCTGACTTGTGCACTAATTGAGCACATTTTCTCTTTCTGTCACAAATGTAACTGCCTCCTGTTTTTTTATTTTACTCTCACAACAGAGGTAGTTTTTTCTTAAATTCCTTTTTATTTTTGATTCTTGACCATTAACCAGAGATATCAACTTCTAGTTTAATATTTATTTTGTTACCAAAAATACTGAAGTCTTTAAGCTATTATAGGAGATTATATATTTAATACCAGACTTTTTACAGCATAATTGTTATTTTATGTAATTAAAACATGAGGTCCTTTTTATCCTTTTTCTAGTTTAAGTACCACTGAAATATCAAATAAAATTAAATTACAAAGTGATCAAGAATAGAAAAATTTGATTTTAAAAGTCTTTTAAGCATCTAAAAAAACTTTTTGGACAAAAGAAGTTGGTATTAACTATTTTTTTAAATGCTTATTGCATTAATATTACTAATAAAACAATGTCATTTTCAAAATTTTTTCCAGCTTTTTTTCTCTTATCCCCTTATTTTCTTAAAACCTAAACATATGATATCCTTTGGTTTGGTTATAATCAGCAATAGAATTATACTTTCAAATAGGTTAATATTTCTATGGTAATTGTTAGTTATTCATCCCTATAATAAAAAGGTTATGTATTACATTAAATTAATATTCTTGGAAATTTCATTCTTGATATTTTTATACTTAATGTTTTGTGTTAGCATGAGATAAGTTCATTTACTATTAATCCTAAAACATATGCAGTTACATTTATAACCATGTGGTTAATAATCAAACCCAAATTTAACATTTTTATGTAAATTTCCTGAAAGCAGGGAAAAAACGTAGCCTTTTCCTTATATTGGGTATTTCCTTGTATTGAGTATTTAAAATAAAATTTGCTTGGTCTAAAATTTGCTTGGTCTAAAGTATTCAAGGAAATAAAGTAAAAAAAATTCAAAATCTTTCATTAAATTGACTCTCAGTCATTCATAAAAATTAGGAATCAGGTAAAATTTTTTCATTTCTTTAGGCCTTCATTTGAAAATAACTTGGAATGTTGGAATGTTTCCATGATTAGGAACAGAAAAAACTCTAGGGAAGTAAGGGAAAAACCAGTATGGGGGCAAAAACAAAAGAAAAGGAGAGAGAAACAGGGAGTCAAAGATGTTTCCAAGGGATTACTTCTAATAATAATGGAATATGGAATCGAAGTTGGGTTGGGATGGAACTGAGGTCCTGAAAAGGGTGATAGATACGGGAAAAGTGATACAGGAAATATTGGATTGGCCATTTTAATTAATTTGAAGAATTTCAGCAAGATGAGAACTAAAATAAGTGAACTGAAGAAGTAACCAGAAAGTAAAATGTTTGAAGATGAGAGTGTGCAGGTACTGATGATGATAACATCGAAGGATGAACAGAAGAGCTAGTAATTGGTGTGCAGTGCAGGAGAAGGTGAGTGGGGGTGAGGAAGTACAGTAGTTCAGAGTACAGTGCCTTGAACACAATAACCACATGGATGCCAAGCTGCCAGAGAGATGAGGGTGCTAGATAAAGAGAAAGGATCGCAGTAAGGTATATCCTAAAGTCGTTAATTAATGTGTCAGTCGATGACTGTCACAAAGTGGGTAGCTAATGATAAAGTTGATGACAGGAGCTTCAGAGGAGTTGGAGAATTTTAAAGGTAAAGGGAGAAAGAAGGCTAGGAAATGGCTAGGTAGAGTCAGCTTCCACTGCAAAGAATGTGAAGGAAACTCTCTAAGAAAAGATAGCAGATGAAAAAACATGATATCCAATGGGTACGGTGGTGGAAGGATTAGAGGATGGAAGAAAATGAGAAATTGAAAATTGGGGTATGCATGCAGATAGTGCTGTGGGTTCAGGTGATGATGAAAGACATTTGGTGTAGAGGGTGCTAGTTTCTTGTGAGTGATGGGCAAGTGAGGTGTAATGGGTCTGTTGCAGGTGGACAGGTATCTTGTCTAAATTAAAGTGCATGGTGCCACTATGATACCCTTCTCCTGGGGTGGTGGAGATCAGGAGCATAAGCACAACGGCTCAGAAATCTGCTGTCCTCTGAAAAAGAGGTTCTCTGAGAGGCGGGGCTGCGTTTGGTTGGCCATGGGTCATCTCACCAGGAGCAGGAGATCAGCTCTTGCTTGTTCCGTTTGTCAGCTCTGTGCAGATTGAGCCTCTTCTAACAAAAGGCTTTTAGAAACCCTGAATCTAGGCATGCAAACTTAAAAAGAATAGCTGTACTTGTGTATTGAGGGAATAAAGGAAGCCTGGGGGTAGGAAAGGGGGTGCTGACGGACAACAGTGCCAAGATGCTTTGTGCACCGGGAGACGCCTGTTCTGTTTTGCCTGTAAACTGCTGTAACGGAGAATAGGGATACAATGATGTTATAGAAAACTAGCCTTTTGTTGTAAGGAATATAAAGCAATGATATGTGGTTAGTTTTTCACTATGTGGTATGAAATGGGAATGGCCCGAGTTTTATTGGAATTACACTGACTTTCACACACAATTAAAAAATGCAAAACAAAGTGGAATGTTCAAGGATAGATAACAGCAACAGAAAATTAATGCAGGGATAGGGTGGGTTTTTTAAATTTAATTTTGCAAGTGAAGTCTAAAGTTTATAAGAGTTTTGAATTAATGAAAGTGTGGAGCTAAATGCCTTTTAAAAATCAATTTAAAGAGGTAAAATTATGCTTCAGTGTTACAGAAAATGCAACAGAATAGCTTGGCATTCCAGCAGGAACAAAAAGAGTAATTTGAAATGTTATTCAGCCCTTTCTCAAGATACATCTTGAAAAATCAATGCCGATAAAGATCAGTATTGAGTAGAGAGTAGTTTAATCCTTAAACCAGTGCACTGGTTAACTTTTTTCAAATTTTCATAAATTTTACAAAAGGTGTTTTTTTAAGAGGAGGAAACATGTATGTGTGTACATTATTTATAACTCTGATCTTTAAATAACCAATACTTTTGATCAAATAATGCATTCAGCTGCTCAAATTCTATGCACTCCTTTTTTCACACCACATTTATTGAGTTGAGAGCTCAAAAGGATATTGCAGAGGTATCTATTCTGCCTTGATACCCTCAAGCAGTGCTACCCAAGAATTACCCCAAAGATATGAAAAATACCTTTACATTTGGCTTCTTGCAGAAGGCATTTCTAATCTCCTATCACTATTAAGCTCCTCCAGCCTACTATTCCTCCCACATCCAGCTTAATAGATCTTAGTTTTGCCTGCCCTTTAAATCCTTCCTCCAAGTAACTTCTCTAGTGAAATTTATCTTGAATGTCTTAAGATATCTGAAAATTGCTCTGACTGTGTGAGACATTGTATACCATCTGAATCTACGTGCCCCATTATCATTTAATGGTTTTCTGAATATATAATCCCTATTTTTTTCTGGTCTTATCCTAGATAGGTATTTTCAAGTACAAACACTATGGGAATATTCCTTTATTTTTCCCATGCTCATTATTTCCAATGGACAAAGTGACATCTTATTGTCTATTATTCCTCAATGCATAGGCTTAGTCCCCATGGTTTACTACTATAAAGAAATAGATGGGAAGAAACAGAAGACATTAATCCAGTTGAGAAGAAATAAAATAAATATGTTTATTCATTCAGCAAATATTTATTAAGTCCTTGCTCTGTGTGACTATTGTTCTAGGTGCTAAAACACAAAGGTAAATGGAAATGAGATGTATATATTAACCACATGTAATAAATTGGATGTAAGTACATGAAGGAAATTATGAAGGTTGTGAAATTCTAGTTCGCCAACTCAAATCATTAGTGAGGAACCTTCCATTTTTCTTTTTTAATGTGTTCCGTAGCTCTCCCTTTGTCTGCACTTTGATCTGAGAGCTCTCTCACCTGGGGGAGCTCTACAGTGCTGTTTCTTTAAGTGGACAAGTAATTTCTTAACTCAGGTCTGAGAAGAAACAAACCTCTTAGTGGGTAGAAACACAGGTGCCATGACTCTTCCTGTGCAACCCCATTGCGCTTCCTCTTTGTGTGTTATGGCTTTGGAATGTTTCCCCTGAATTAGGTTACAGTCTCCTGTGAGCCACACAAGGTTAAGGTATTTGAACTTTTTATAGGAATAAATGGATTCCAAGGTGGAATCAGTTGTGGAAGTTCGAAGGAGTTATTGTAGTCTTACATATCAAGTACAAACTTGTGGAGGCTGTGATGAGAAGGCACTAGAATATTTCAGAGTTGTATATTAGATGACATTTTTGCTTTCCAGTCAATGAAGTAGGAATGAAATGGTAACATTTGATTGCTGCCTCCCAAATCTGAACCACCCTGCCTATGTCCTAGGTGACATCTAGATAGTTAATGAACTGAAGCTCCAGTCTATAAGGTACCACTGATAAGGTACTCACAGTCAACTACAGACTCTGGATCTCTTATTCCCACTTCCATGACTGTTGTCCATTTCTAGGTTGAGAAGGGTTAGACTGTTATTGATCCCCTGGGAAGCAAAAATCTGCTGCTTCCTTCCTTCCTTCTTTCCTCCCATCTCTCCTTCCTTCCCTCCTTCGTCCCTTCCTTCCTTCCCTCAATCCTAAAGAAATATAAGAATGGTCATTTTGTGTCTCTACTCACTTAAAAAGTGTAATAACAGATCATAAACAAAAGAAAAATAATTGTCAAAGAAGGATGGAGGCAATTAGCAAATGGGAGAAAAAGAGAAAAATTATATTATAAAATCAGAGTTAAGGTAAGCTCCTGCAATTGAGAAGAAAATTAGCTCTGAGAGTCTGGTGAACAAAGCAAAAAATAGAAACACCATGGATTCTTAACTGATTGTCAGGGGAAACAAAACTTTTCCTAGGTCTAAATTATTGGAGGAATTCATCATCTGCACCTTAGAATAAGAGTCAGTGGATGATAAAATGGATAGAGACTGCATTAGCAATTGTATTAAAAGTCCTTGAAGTCATTGGGATTTCTTAGATCTTTCCTAGATAAATAACATTTAACATGTAAGAGTTGGAGCTAGCATTCAGACTACTATGGTTAAACTAAAAACGTTGATGACAGTATTTTCAGGTACTTTAGTTCTCTGCCACTTACTACCTGCAGTCCCTAATTCCCTGCTCCATTACCTGTAGTATTCCAATTATTCACTAAAATAGTTACAGTCCTTAATAATACAGATTTCCCCCACAATGGGAATAATCCTAGAAAGTTACCCATGAACCCTAGAATCTGAAATTGGGACAAGACATACAAAGTCATCTATTCTGGTAGATATTAAACCTGGGTATTCATCACAATTCCCTGGCAAGTTTTATAAAAGTCAGATTTTCACTCAGCTGCCCAAAATTCTCATTTAGTAGTTCAGGACATAGGCCGATACATGTTGTTGTTTTTGTCTTTTTAAAGGAATTATCCTATGCAGTCAAGCATTTAGGAACCACTAATCTGATCCACTCTCCCGTCTACCACAGGAATCTTCAACGCACATTGCTCAGAGTTGGTTGCCCAGACTACATTGTGGGATACTTCAAATTCACGAGGAAGGATGTTTCATTATTGGAAAGTTCTAATTGTCCAATCATATTTTTCTGCTAACATAATCACTTGAAGAATGTTTCAGTTCATTTCTGGTTAAGCTTTCATTGTTTGGGGCTGCTAACCCTTCTAAATTTCTCTGTTCCTCTAATCTTACATATTAAATATTTAATAATCTTGCTAAAAACAATGTAAATGCATCATAGGAACTCCATTAAAATAATTCTTCAGATAATTCTTTTGTGAATGAAATTGTACCACGTGGTTGTTCATCCCCAAAGTGTGTTTGTTGTAAGAATATATCTTTTATTAAAGTTGGCAAGTTCTGTACATTATCTGTCTCTAATACTAAAAAATTTTGCAAGTCTTTATACCAATAATACTGTCCAGCTTATATCTTCATTGTAGATCAATCTCATTTCCTTTGTTCTTTAACGTAATTTGGATTTATTGAGAGTAATTTGGAGTAATTATTGCTATTTCAAATGTTTCTTTAAAAATTCTGCGTCTACCAAATGACTTTCATTTCACTACTTATAGCCCTGATGCTTGAAATGCAACCTGAATTGAAGATCTCAGGCTGTTTAACATGAGTAATAAATGACTAGAATAATTTATGAGTTATGCATTTCAAATTAAGTGAATAACAAAGAGAGAAAATTTCACATTAAAACAAGGAATATAGTCTCCTAAGAAGGATTCATTAGATGTGTATGAGTCCCATGTGGTAAGCAGGGCTATGTGAAATGGCAGGGAAATAAACTTAAGGTACAGGAAAATAAATTAATTAGAACTGTCATATTTCTCAAGGGGAACAAAATATACAAAAGAGCAATTACTTTGCAACTGTGCACTAGGAAAGCTAGTTAACTATGGAACTGCGTTCTTCATTCTTTGCATTTTAAATATAAACTGATTGAGTTTTCAATATAAGCGGTCTTTGGGAGAATTTAGGAAATGATTAGACTAGATGAGGCCTCTCATTCAGGGATGTTGAATCATGTGTAGCTAGAGGCAATGTAATTTCTCCACACAGGCTGGTCTTTGGAGATTCTTTTATCAGTGCAAAGTACAGAGGTTAAAAAGCTGCCTCATTCTAGGGGATTCCGGAATCAAGAAGCAGTCTCGGCACCGGGTCATCATTCAGCTGCCGGCCAATGGGGGCAGGGACTGCTCGGACCCTCTCTATGAAGAGAAGGCCTGCGAGGCCCCTCAGATGTGCCAAAGCTACAGGTAAGAGAGCTGAAGGAAAAGCAGGTGACCGATGCACTGAGCACAATACTTCAGGTCCAACCCCGTCCTGCAGGCTCAGTGGAGTTTGGGATGTTTTTGGCTGAATGTGTGATCTCCTGCCTTTTTGAAAGAGCTGCTCTTCTACCAAAATTATCTCCAGAGAGACAATTACTTGTATAAATTTCCACGCTGTATTATTAGCTCCAGAAGTTAGGGAAAGTTTCTTTTGTTGACATAAACTTCAAGGAACGCATGAAAGTTGTTAATACTTATAAAACATATGTTTTAGGAAGCAGTTCTTTTTCTTTGAGGAATCACCTAAGCATTCCTCTCTTGGTGCCAAAGAGCTCCTGTTCCTCCTAAAGACTGGTGTTCTGGCTGCTGAAATGCATCTTTATCTCAATGAGGCTAGTAAGAAGTTCGTTCTATTAATTTTGGGCCACCTCAAAGAAAATGAAGGTTATTGAAGCTATCTATCATTATCTTGACAAATATCAGAGAAGTTTTTCTTCAGAACTATTAAAAGAAATTTCCTGATTGAAACTTGATGTAGTACATAAATGCAATTCCAACAACAGATGAAATATTATGGCATCAATTGATGGAATGTGTGATCACAAAATAGCAATTTAAGGTGAAATTGATGGCAGATTTGCCATCTTAACTAATATTAATCTATATTTAATTCTGAGATGACAAATACTATAATTGCATGTTGACACTATAAACACTGAGAACTATTAGCTGAAATGTATTTATTTGATGGATCTGTTTTTGTGAAGTGTATTACACTTGCAGTTTCTGAGTTACCACTGCAATGCTAATGGAAAGAGCACTCTACAAAAGGCTCATCACAAGAATGCAGTTTTATAACTTGAACAGAAAGTATATGTACCTTAATTAGACAAAATGCATCACTCTGGTACCATCTGGTATGTCTGCTGGAGTCCCAGTCATTGAAAAGGCTAAATGCTCTCTGCAGTGTTTATTCTTACAGAACTTGACCATGATGAATTCTGTATCCACTGCCATAGAGAATATTTTATATTTAATGCTGCTCATTCCAATGTCTTGGAGATCTAAATTAAATTTAGGTAGGACTGAGCATAGTCAAATCTCTGTTGGCAGTGGTCAAAGTCATGTTTCCATGTCCCCGTATCTATGATTTGCCCGGCATTTTTGCTTCCTCTCCTTGAGGTTTTTTTGCTTTTCTTGTAGGTGGAAGACACACAAATGGCGCCGGTGCCAGTTAGTCCCTTGGAGCGTGCAACAGGACAGCCCTGGAGCACAGGAAGGCTGTGGGCCCGGACGACAAGCAAGAGGTGGGAGGCCTCATTCTCATTCTACAGCTGATTTGCTTTTCATTTCTTCAGCATCTCTAACTTCACCACCAGCTTGAGGAGTTTGTCATTCTGATGCCATGCTTAGCCCACAGAGCAGAGCAGATCTGAATCTCCTTACCACTTATTCTGCCTAACCCCAGAACATGGAAACTTGTCTTTTTAAATTGTGTCCTTTGCTCTTTGGCATTAGCCCATGATTTCTCTGCTTGCGTTTTCCCCTCATTGATATCTAGGAGATAATCAGACGAAGCTCTTAAGAATGCTGTGACATAGATGGTACGCTGCAGCTTGTTGTTAGCTTTTTTGGATCGTGGTGTTCCATGACACTTTGGCTTGTCACCTTAACAGTCAATAAGATCCTTACATCCTTGCCCATCTACATTGTACATGTGTGTGCATACAATGTAATATAACTGGGTAACTTTCTCAGAAATTCTCAGCAATGACATCCATAGCATTGCCACGGCTCTCCCTGATTCTGTTCATATGCAATACTGATTTTTACATGCAGATTTATGAACTCAAAACCTGCCATGTGTGGACTGCAATCTGTCTGCACTGCTAGGTAACGTGGAATCCTGCAGAAATGCACGATGGAAATGTTTCCAACTTGCAGTATTATTCATTGGGTATTGTGAATAATACTTGCTTTTGAAGTTTTAGAACAATGTTATTTATGCGTATAGCAAAGTCAGTCTTTAGAGTGTACATGATTGTTTTTACTATTATGACTTTTAGAATGTAGTTCCTACATACCTAAAATGTAGCTGAATATACAATTGAAAATGCAACCACTGCCTCTCTTTGACTCATAAAAACATGTTTTGCTCCCTCATTTGTAGTTATATGTTTGATGATGATGCACAAGTGTGAACATACAGAATAGAATTCCAGCTTTTGCTGCTGTGACCTGGAACCCCCCTTTCCTTTACAATGTGAAGATTATTGTCCTCATTTGAGAAAAAGAGCTACTTTTTAATACAAATGTTCTGTTTGTTTAATCATCCTTTTATAAGTCTTTCTTAGAAACAAAAAATTTAGTTTACAAAGAATATTAACTACCTAGTGATTTTTATGATATTATTTTATATACTTAATTTTCATTGTGTGTCCTCCACCATCAGCTTTAGCTAAAAATTACCGGTATTATTTTACAGTTCTAGAGACTTAGGTACATATCTAGAACTCAGTCATTCTCCCCATTTAAAACCATCTATCGAGAAGCTGAGTGACACGAGATCTTCTTGTCTTACCCTACTAAATCCTCCTTGAATCAAGCAGACATGTGCATGCAATGTGGGTGCTATGTGGAGTTTATAATGAAAACAGGTGTGGGTTTGGGAATCAGGGAACACAAGTCTTAGTCCTTGTTTTTTCACTAATGCAATGCAAGTCTTATTCTTTATTTCACTGTCTTTGTCTTGGTTTATTTAGATAAAAAAAGGATAAGAGGGTTAGACCAAATCATCTTTTAGGATTACTCCGATTTTCATATCCTATAACCTATGCACAGAAAATACCTAGGGATCCAAGTCTGAAGTGAAATTAATTTAAAAAGATGAAAGCTGTATTTTTATAGACTACCACAGGAGGAAATATGAGTTGGTGAAAACAGCTTCAGTTGCAAACTTTTTGACTTAACAACTGCCGAATCTTGGGCTATTTATTTCCTCCCTCTGAGCTAAGAATATAATGATTCTCACAGTGCTTTGCACATACCCAATCTTCTTTAAATGTTGAATCCTTCCCCCTTCCTGTTAGGTCGTGGCCCTGACGAATGCGTGCGTAGATCGTAGTAGACCTGAAAGCAACAACAGTAACATGGACCTTTTGTATTTTTGACACAAAGTCTGCAAAAAGACTGTTTTTTCTGTGATTATTAGTAATCTTTTCATTTCCAAATCTGAAGACTTTTGTTCATTCCTCACCCTGGGTGACTACTTTGTGGTGTCTGATACCGAGACCCATTCCCATGGGGAAAAGCAGTCTTTAGCTTCCTCGATGCCACCGTCTCCTGCCTTTCTGACTCTTCTGGTTTCCTACCACTGGCTCCTCTTCCTCTGCCTGTACTTCAATAATGATTTCTGAGCTTGGAATACTTGTCAGACAACTGACTCTATCTTGGTACTCTTTTCTATTTCCAGGCTATCTGAAAAAAAGAAAGTAATTTCTGCATAAATATACTAAGAAGAGCCCACTTAAATTCCATATGAAGATAATCTTTCTTGCCTTGCTAAGTTAAAGATTTTTTTCCTTAGTGCCAATATCTGTACAGAAACATGAAGTGGGGAGAATCACGAGTGTAGAAATATATTTTGTGAATGGCCGAAAGGCAACATTTTGTTTCCTCGATGGCCATGCTTGCGTTCGGCACTCTGGATGATGGACCTGTCAGATTCTTGCTATTTTCACCTTTGTTTTTATCCAGTCAGAGACTTTAAAAGTGCCAACTAGTGCTGCTTTTTAATGATTAAAATAACTGTGTAGTAAGGATTAGCATCAATCAGCAAAGACTGTAGAGAAGCTACCCCCATCCTCTCTAATGTATACAATTTTCTAATTCCAGTCACTCATTCACATGTGATTGCATTCAGAAGACTGTGTGGAAAGAGCCAGGAGCATCAGGAAAGAATGTAGAGGTACAAGCCAGGGAGCTTATCTTTGTTAGAGAAATGGCATCACCGGCGACATTATCCAACATGTAGGAGTTCGAGACTGAAACCGATCCATTGCAAAAGCAGTAATTTGAAGCTAAAGAGCTTAAGAAAGAACCTAACAGATGAGCTTGGGCTTGACTTGTACTTTAATATTAGAATTAGCAGAAAAGAAAAAAGAATACAAAATAAGATCAATTCTATAAGCTAGGCATTTGAGGTAAGGAAAATAAAAACATTAAATGTGTTCACAGAAAAATGGGTAGATTGAACTCTGAAGCTCTGAAGATGTGAGCTGGGGTGATTTCACAGAAGGCTATAAACGTCAGGATCAGTATTTTAGACCTTGTTCAATAAATAGTAAGAGCAAGCACCTGATGAAAGTGGTGGTTTATCTGTCAGCGTGTACAGAATAAATTAGGATAAGGCCCACGGGACTAGATGCCATCTAGTTCACTGTTGTAGCAATTCAAGGATTTCGTTATAAGGTCTCCTAAACCACAGTGGTGGGAATGGGCAAAAATAAGTGGATTTTCAGCATACTATAGAGGAAAATAATTTTAGGACTCAGTGGCAGGCAATAGCAGCAGAAATAGAAACAAACAAGTCAAAGATGATCATGTGATTCTTAAACTCTAATACTTTTAGCTTAAGAATAGTTATAATAATGGTGAAAATTCTTGGGTCTGTAAGTAGAGTTAACTTTATAAAGTATATTTTTTATATTGTGCATTAGAGGTGACAGCAGGGGAGCCAATTAAAAATATCCAAGTGTGCATTTGAAATGCAGCTATAGACATAGCTTAGGGCAGAAGATAGTAATTTGAGTAAAATTACCAGAAAGGGTTTTCATGAAGCCACAGAAGAACCTAAGAACTCTGAAACACATTGTGTGCAGAGGGAAAAGTGGTTATTGTATTTTACCATTAACAGATTTTTCTCTGTAACCTGTTTGCATTTGTATACTCTTTAGTACTTCTTTTTACCGAAAGAACTTTAAATGGTATTAACTTTAAATTACTGTTTCTTCCTGTGTCATAAAATATGAGAGCTAACTATATCGTGCTATGATTCTAAAGGTAGAAATTTCAATCCCATAGATTTTATCAAACTATTGGTCTAGACCAGTGATCAGTAAACAATGGCCTGTGCACCAAACCTACAGTCTGTTTCTTTAATCATTACAGCTTTATTGGAACACTGCCATACCCATTTTTCTACCTGTGGCCAGTGGCCGCTCTCATGACACAAGGCGAGGTTGAGCACAGTCAGCCATCTATATCCACGTGTCCCACATCTGCAGATTCAACCAACCACAGATGGGAATTTTCTTAAATATGACATTGTTGCTGATGCATACTATGTGGTCCTTTTTTTCTTGTCATTATTCCCCGAACAATACAGCATAGCAACTATTTACATAGTGTTTACATTATATTATAAATAATCTGGAGATGATTTAAAGTACGTGGGAGGACGTGTGTAGGCTATATGCAAATACTATGCCATTTTATATTAAGGAAGGGACTTGAGTCCTGGAATCAGTTCCTGTGGATGCAGCGGGATTACTGTAGTTGTTACAGAAACTGTATAGTCGATGAAAATATTTACTATCTGGCCCTTTACAGAAAATGTATGCCGACCCCTGGTCTAGATTCTAAAACCATATCATCCATAATATAGTCACAGCTTCTAATAGTACTGAATAGTCATTACCCAGTAGGATTGGAAAATTCCTGAAGTTTGCCTGGTCACTAGGGGAAAAGCTTTTTAGTTCAATTCATCCACAAAGGGCCTCTTTTAGAGTTATGAGAGTAGTGGACTCTAGAGGCTGTCACAGTGGTAAAATATATGGCTCCAGGATGGAATTGCTGCATTCTTTGGGGAATTTAGGAATAAAATTTTGACTCTAAAAACTTCAGTAATAAAAAGAGTTAAAGGTGAAACCAGATAATACATAAGATGAGAAAGACAGGAGAGAATGCCCTCCTAATTCTCCTGTCTGGAAGACGATGAATCACACCCAGGAGCTGGCCATCAGGAGTTAATTTACTAACTACGCACAGAGAAGGAAGAATGTGTGTGCTTGTATAATATGCACCTCTCCGCAGAACACTCACAAAGTCACCTGTCGTGGTTCACTTCTCCTCAAAAGACTTGAAGCTTCCATAATAGTTGACAATGCTACCCAGAGCTCTCTTTTACCAGTGTGCTAGCCAACCCTCCTAAGTCTTCTCTTATCCAGTCATCTGCACCTGCCTACTTTTCACCACCTATTAACAATAAAGTGGCCTTTATAGTCAGACTCTTATTTTTACTATCAAT